AAACAGGTCTGGAAACACTGGGAGGCTTCCATACACTAACATCTTCAGTACTTTGTGGAAACAATAATTATTGTGCACTGCTGTTTCACATCAACTCTGCGTCTGAAACTCTGATTTCCCTCCTTTCAGTTGCCATTAGTATTCTCACATTTCTTCTTGTTAATTATTTTATTCATTTTTATATTTTATGTACACTATCCGTCAGTAAGATTTTTAATGTTTTTTTTTAAAGAAGTTATTAAATATTGAAATTACTTAAGATTAATGAATGTTTAGAAGAATATTTCATTGACAGTTTATGTTAACTAATGAATTAACTAATGTCAATTAATAGAGCCTTAATGTAAAGTGTGACCAAACAATAAAGAATCAAAACGCTTTCAAACAATATCTAGGGCATATTGTAGTCCAGATTAAAATGTAAAAAAAGTTTGAAAATAAATAGCCAATTAAGTCTAAATATTTAAGTATTTGGCGCTGTGATGAACACCACTGCGAATACACAAATCTGAATGGCTATTTAAACCATTTAAATACGTTTTAGAAAGTAGTGCAGCTTGTGCAATTAGTGTGCATTTGTGCAAGTACAATCCGTGCTTGTTTACATCAGAGTGCACACGCGTCTTTAACGCAGCATACAGCGGTGTTGTGCATTGTGACCAGTTGATGGGAAAAGTATTCTTAAAATGCATAAAAAAAAATCTGAATAATTTGTTATAAATAATTATTCACTGTATTTTGAAGTGCCCACAATAACAATATCATGCATGTTCATTATCGTGATATATCGCATTACCGAATACCGGCACATGTCTAGATCAAATAAATGCAGGCTTGGTGAGCAAAACTTTTGACTGGTAGTGTATTATCTTGTTTAATGTAAATACATGACGGATGTCTTATAGAGTTTCACTCAGAGCCTGAAGAGACGGATGTCTTTGAAGAACGTTCTGTACTCCTGTGGAGTGACGTATGAGATTGTGTCCAACATACCAAAGGTACAAACTTCACACTGTTTCCTCTTCATGTTTGTTTTTCTGAATGCACTGATCACACACCTGCTGTCTTCATGAGCAGGCGTCTGAGGAGCCGGAGGAGCGCGAGACTCTGGCCTTGATGGCGGCGCGAGGAGAGAGCGAGGAGACACTCGGTGGAGAGACATACATAGAGAAATACACCAGAGGAGTCCTGGAGGTGGACAATATTCTGTGTCTGGAGAGACTCCGGCAGGTTCGGCTTCATTTTAGGACAGATTTCTCTCACTATCTGCTGTTTCTGCTGGAGTGTTTAGTAGAGATCAACCAATATTGATTTTTTGTAATGATACCGATATCGATTATTTGCATGTTTTATGCCAATAACCAATATGCAGAACCAATATTTATTTATTGTTTCACTTTTATCTGCTGTTTCTGCTGGAGAGTTTAGTAGAGGTCTACCGATATAGATTTTTTTTATAACCGATACAAATTATTTGCATGTTAATGGGCCGATAACCGATATGTAAAACCAATACTAATTTATTGTTTTACTTCTATCTGCTGTTTCTGCTGTAGTGTTTAGTAGAGATCGACTGATATTGTTGTTGTTGTTTTTTATAACCGATACTGATTATTTGCATGCTTATGGGCCTATAACCGATTTGCAGAACCAATATTTAGTTATTGTTTCACTTTTATCTGCTGTTTCTGCTGGAGAGTTTAGTAGAGGTCTACCGATATTTATTTTTTATTTTTATAACCGATACAAATTATTTGCATGTTTATGTGGCGATAACCGATATGTAGAACCAATATTTATTTATTGTTTTGTTGTATCTGCTGTTTCTGCTGGAGTGTTTAGAAGAGATTGACCAATATTGATATAATTTTTTCTAACCGATAATGATTACTTTATCTGAAATCTTTTCCTTAAATCTCAAAACGACCACAAGATGGCGGCATTTATCGGTGGATCCAATATTACAAAACCAATATCCGATTATGAAAAAATGCTTAGATATCAGGAAACAATATCAGTCAAACCGATTATCGGTTGATCTCTAGAGTTTAGTGTGTATTTGTGGGTTCATTCAGGCCGTGACGGTGAAGGAAGCTCTCTCCGCTAAAGGCAGACACATACGGCGCAGTCTCAGCACGCCCAATGTCCAGCACGTAAGACCAGATCTACTATTGACTTGTGTATAGAAACAAAAGACTGTCCATTGTGTAACAGAACAGTAATATATATTTGTTTAGAGCTCTTGTTGTAAACCGGACGGGACCGGATGTGAGGATGAGGACGTAAAGGTTAGTGAACACTACAGACGGTGTGTTTGTTGTGAATGTCTTTGTCTGAGCGTTGACTTTATTTCCACAGACTCACTGTGACGGTCCAATGGATGTCATAGAATCCAACGTACATGAAGCTTCACTCAACAGTCCTCTCGCAAAAGACACGCCTGTCAAAAACAAAGAGAATCAGGGTAAATTAATGATGGTGAACTTATCTTTCTGCTGGGAGGATTTGAAAGACAAAGATGTTTTTTTTAAAGCAAGCATTCTAAAAAAAAAGAACATTACTGTAGTTAAAACAATATTAAAGATTATAACTAAACAATTTAATTAAAATAATAATAATAATGTTGTTGTAAAAAATTCAACACTTCTAAATAAAAAAATGCAATAATTTGTAATAATTAAAAAAAAGTTCTTGTTAGTAGTAAATAGTACTAAAACTTTTCAAGACTTAAAAATAAAAGAAAATAGTGAATATATATATATATATATTATAGATATTAGTAGTAAATGGTACATGTAACTTTTCAATACTTCTAAAAAATTTTATAAAAATAAATATTTATAATTAAAAATAGTTATTTATATATGAATAAATACAGACCTTTTCAGTTGTTGTTTATAGCGCCTTTAAATATCTGTATGCATCATTGCATGCAAACGTTATCCTCAGGATCGGTACCAGAGAGTCCAACGTTCTTCAACTCCAGTCCATTTAAGGTTCTGTCTCCTCAACCGCCCAAGTTCCTCAAATCTCTCTTGCCAGTGAAGGAGGAGAACAAAGTCAAGCGTTCTCTGGAGTCACGGCCTCTGCTGGGACAGGAGGTGATACACTCACAAACAAACACACACACACACACAAACAAACTCACT